TGCCCCTCTTTCATTCTTTGTGTTGTTAATTTGTATTTTTCTTGATCATTCTACCCAAAGAATATATTCATTTTATTAATCTTTCTCAAAGAACCAATGATTTTCTTTTCTATTTTATTAATTAATATTATTTTTATTCCCATATATTTTGGCTTTAATTTCCTCTTCTTTTTCTAGCTTCTCAAATCATTTATTTTAAATTTTTTCTCTCTTCTAATATTCGTAGGTAAAGCTCTAAACTTCCCTCTCAGCACTGCTTTAGCTTGTTGAGTTTAAGCCTTCATGTGATTTTTAAATGTGCCTTTTCATATTGAATTTTTAAGAAACTGTAATTTATTTCAAACTGGATGAGTTTAGGGATATTTTAGGTCTCTTTTTGCTGATAATTTATAATTTAATTCTTTTGTGGTCAGATAACATACCATATATGATTTTAACCCTTTGAGAATTATTGAAACTTGTTTGATGACCCCATATGTGCTCTTAGTGAGCATTCCCTGAGCACTTGAAAAAAATGTATTCTGAAGTTCTTGGATCTAGTGTTCAATAGTGTAAACTAGATTCAATTGGTTTATACTATTGTTCAAATCTTATCTCACGAATTTTCCATCTAGTTGTTCTATCAGTTATTGAGATAGTAGAGTTCAAATCTAACAATAATTATGGATCTGTCTATTTCTCCCTTTAGTTCTGTTTGTGTTTCATGTATTTTGAGGCACTGTTATTAGATGCATACTCATTTAGGATCATTGTTTCTTCTCAATGACTTAAACTTATTATGAAATATTCTTTTTTATCTCTGTTCGTATTGTCAGATATTAATATCATCAAATTGTAATATCTCTTTAGCTTTGTGGTTAGTGTCTCTGCTTTAGTCTTTTCCCATTCTTTTTTCTTTTAATGAATCTTTTGTTTATTTTTCAAGTGCAACTCTTTAGCATATATTTAGGGCTTGCTTTCATTCCAGTATGACAATAACTGCCTTTTTATTGGCGTTTTTAATCAATTTACATTTAACATAATTGTTGAGTTTAAGTCTACCATCTTGCTACTTGTTTTCAATATGTCCCTCAGTCTTTGTTCCTATTTTCTGCCTTCTTTTATAATAATTTAAAATTTATTTATTACTGTTTTATCTCCTCTATGAGCTTTTAACTACATCTATTTGATTTTCATTTTTTTCTGGTTTGTCTAGGAATTATTTGCATTCTTAACTTACCACAGCCTCCCATGAATTATGATGCCATTTCATGTATATTCTAAGAATTTTACAATGTGACATTATTATGTATTTTATTTCTGCATATATTATAAACCATACTTTTACACAATTACTTTTAAGGAATTATGAAATTAGGAAACAAATATTCTTATATTTACCCACATACATATATGATGCTCTTTGTGCCTTTGTGTATGTAATTTTCCTTCAGCCTGAAGGACTTCCTTTAACATTTCTTATAGTTCAGGTTTGCTAAATTAGCTCAGCTTTCGTTTATCTAAAAATAGTTGTTATTTTGCCTTTAGTTTTTTCTGAGATTTTCACTGGACATTGAATTCTTAATTGGTGAGTTTTTCTTTTATACATTTCAGCACTTTAAAAATATCATTCCATTGAATTATGACGTTCATTGTTTCTGATGAAAAATCAATATTTTAAATTTTGTTCCTCTGTATATAATTGTCTGGCTATTTTTTTAGAGATTCCTATATTTATCACTGATTTCAGCAACAAACTTTGCATTTATAATGTTCCTGTTGTTTTGTTTGTATTTGCTTCTTGAGGTTTGTTAACTTTCTGCTATCTCTGGGTTGATATTGTTCATCAAATGTGGGGAGAAAGTTGGTCACTAACTCTTCAAATACTTTTTCTGACTCAATTTCTCTTTCCTCTCCTTCTGGGACTCCAGTTATACCTGTATTAGACCATTTTATATTGTATCTGGGATCTATTCATTTTTTTAGTCTTTTTTACTTCCCGTGCTTCAAGTTCTTTGATTTCTTCTTTTGTAGTGTCCTATTTGCTATTTAAAAAAAATTTTAATTTCAGATATAATAACTTTTACTTTTAGAATTTTTATTTGGTTCTTTTTATAGTTTCTGTTTTTATACTGAGATTCCTGATCTGTTCACCTACTATGTCTAGTTTGCTTTAAATTCTTGATATGTTTTAAAGTTTTTGACTACTAATTCCAACATCTGAGCTATCTCTGGGTCCATTTATTTTAAGTATATTTTCCCCTTGGTTATAGATCACATTTTTTTGTTTTTGTTTTTGTTTGTTTGTTTGGGGTTTTTTTGTTTTTGTTTTTTTACATAGCTAGTAATTTTTGTCACTGTTTTTACTGGATATTGTGGATTTTACATTGTTGCAAAACTGGATTTATTTGTCTTCCTTTGAAGAGTCTTCACTTTTCTGTCAACGTTTGCTCACAGACTAACTTGATCTTCTTGACGCTTATGTTAAAAGTTTTTAGGGAAAGTATAAAGTAGCCCTTACTGTAGAGCTAGAAAAGCCCTACTCCTAAGACTTTGCCTTTCTGACATTTTAATTGAATGCCCAGTATGTACAGTGAGGTCTCTCGAATCTGTCTGATCAGTTATCCAATGTCTCCAAGCCTTATGCAATCTTTGGAATCTTTGTTCAGCTCACAATTCCTCAGTAATTATTCTCTGCCATGACTCACAGAGTCCTTCCTTCTGCGTGTACAACTTAATGTTCAGTAAAATATTAAAAGAGACTTTTATGCATGTTTCTGGAGCTCTCTTTCTGTGTGTGGGGTGTGTGTATGTGTGTGTGTGTGTGCGCGCGCGCGCAGCCTCTTTCTCTCTGGTACCTGATACACAAAGCTGAACTTCAGTCTTTACCCCATCAGCTCAGTGAGATCATTGCCCTTTGCTTAAGCTACTCCTTTATGCATCACAGTCAAGGTGTTTCTACAGAAAGCTGAAGGTGATTATTGGGCTGACATCATGTACTAATATTTTTCTTTTCTCAAGGATCACATTCCTTCTCTGATTGTTGTCTAGAGTTTGAAAACTTCTGTTTCAGTTTTATATTTGTTTATAACAGGAGGACTAGTTTGGTACTAATTATGCCATCATGGCTGAAAATGTAAGTCTCTAGTACAATTGAGTGATTCACTCTCAGTTGTTCAAAAACCTCCATTTTAAAATGGCCATAGTATTACCTTTGAGAAATGGGATATCTCTGAAAAGGCTTGTGAACAAAATATATTTTTTATGGACAAAGAGCATGGCCAAGATGCTAGGTGGAATTCAAGGTGTTATTTGCATACACTGGATTAATGCTTTTTTGTATGTATGGTTGTATACTTTTATGTATTTGTGTGTGAGAGTATGAGTGGGAGCAAATGAGTATTAGGAGAGGAAAAAGAGAAGCCAAGCAAATATAAAAGTAGGAAGACACACTGAAAGGGTCAAAATCTTAGTTTTTAAAAAAAACAATACTCAGCATGAAAGTAATTTAAAACTCAAAAAATTTAACTCTTTCTGCAATATTAGCTACATATTTGAATGCCTACCACTTGTCAGGCATTTTTCTGTGTTTCACATATTCTAACTATTTAATCTTCACAACAACCTTTTGTGATATGTGCCTGTTTTATCCCTATTTTACAGATTAGAAAACTGTGATATAAAGAGATGGTATAACTTGCCCATGGTTGCGATGTTCATAGGTAGGAGTTGGGATTTAATCCCAGGCAGTCTGCATCCAAACTCCTACATTTTTAACCTCTACACTTTCTTCATATCAGAGAAGGATTTGGTTAGTGTCTCCTCTAGTCTCTTCCTCACTCCTCTGTCCTCTAAAAAAATTCCCCTGTTAAGTTTCGGTGACCAATAAAAGCCTCACTGGGGTTTGGTGTTGGTGGAGGACGCTTGACCATCGAAAAGATGGGCATGCTGCTGGTCCACAGTTTTTTCACACTGGACTCTTTCAGCATCTTCCATTTCATCAACTTCAATCACCAATATAGCTTTTCAATATTCAAGTGACCTTCAAGTATGGACAAAACTTGATGTGTGACTCAGGGAGATTTTCAGTCCCTAATTTGGACAGTTTGAGAAACCAGGTGATGATTGGGATGACCCATCTCCCTTGAGATACAGGAAGTGGGGAGAGGGAAAATCACTTCCCTGAATTATCAGTAATTCACACCAGGAAACTTTCAGACTAGTTCTATTTCTGACTTGGGGGATGGTGAGATTGGGAGGTGGGGTATGAATACTGATCTGGACTAGAGGCACTGGATCTCTCTAGGATTTTATTTCCACTTCTCTACCTGAGAGTTGCTATCTCCTCGAGATGGGTTCTTCCAGTGATCTTGACGATTTCAGGAAGGAAGGAGCTAACAGATTGCAGGCTATTATTATGGCAACATCATTTCTCCTTGGCCACCAAACAGTTGTATCCTGAGTCATGAACCGCTCCGCTCAGTGGCTGTCGAACCAAATTGCGTTTGAAATTCAGAGGAGAAAGTCCGTGTGTGCCAAAACCAAGCCCCTGAGTCACCCAGCACCCATCAGGAAGACAGCAATGAATAGGGCCGGAAGCAGTGCCAGGACCCATGCCTTGCAGCTGGCGTGGACCTTCAAGCGTCCATCCCACAGATATCTTTCTGGTATAAAATCTCATGTTCTCACCGACAGGAGGCGCCATTGTCTATTCTCTCTGCTCTTTGCAAGGTTCCTGACTAGTGAATCATCTCCTTTTTCCATGAAGTGAGCCGTGTACTAGGGAGATCATATTTTATTTGTAATGTCTAAAGAAATTGTATTAGACATGGCAGTTTATGAAACAAAAAAGGTGGAGTTTGTATTTGGAAAGGTAACATCTTATTTACTAGGAAGACCTGAATTTGGACAGATTTACCTGGGCCCATTTTAAAGCCAGAGAACTAGTATCCCTTTTGGCTTGTCAACCAGAGTCCTGTAATTATTCTATATAATTGTTATTTTTCTTTTCTTTTTGGAAGGAGTCTCCTGCTGAAGAAAGAATCTAAAGAGATGCCTAAGTTCCAGGGAATTTTCCTCTAAGACTAATAACATCAAGATAGTTTTGATTTTATTTATTTATGGTCATTGTTTTTCTCTACATGAAAAAAAAAATTTCATCTTCAGAGATAAGTTCCAGGGAATTTTCCTCTAAGACTAATAACATCAAGATAGTTTTGATTTTATTTATTTATGGTCATTGTTTTCTCTACATGAAAAAAAAAAGTGTCATCTTCAGAGATCCCGGTTAGAATTTTTAATTTTCCTTGTGCTGGTTGAAGAAGAATCTCAAACCTTGGTGCTGTTTTTTGTTTATTTCAAGAAGAATTTCAGCTGGTGCTTGACAACTTATGCCTCCTATAAAACCAAGAAATATTTTTTTACACGGTGTATATTCAAGATATCTTCCAACTGACAGACATTCCACCGAACAAAGAAGTTGGGCCATTTTTCACTATACATTTTTGGTTAAATATGTGAGAGCTATTGTTTTGAAAGTCAACCATAGTAATAATAGCCAATTCAAAAAACATCCTACTAAAGAGTGAGTTACATTTTGTCTCTATTTCTACATTTATACTCCATCTCTCTCTCCATCTTTTAGTTCTCCCAGAAACAAAACAGAGTATTTCTCCTCTGGCAAACGAATGGCAAGGTTCCATGTAAGAAAATGCTGAACTTGAAATTATGAAACATCACCATCAGTTTCGGAGGATTACAGGATTAGAATGTAGCCAGAAATTTAGGGCTCAAGAACCTAGAACATAAAGTTCAGAGATGGAATGTCATTGGCTCCAAGGTTAAAAACAGAGGACCACCGTCTTATTGCCTGTGGTTATGACATACTCGAACATCAGTTGGGCTCAAATACACATTGAAGACAGTCAGCCAAAGGGTAAATAAATTAAACTGAAGTGACTCAGAAAGCACCTAGGGAGCTGAGTTGTGAAGCAGTAACAAGGAACTTTGTTCTTGAGAATGACCCCACTTAGAACTCAAGGGAGAGAGCCTCATTAGAAAACTCAAAGAATCATAGTACCCAATGAGTTTCATTTATAGGCTTTCTCAATAAAGATGGAAAAGAATATGTATGATGATATAAGGGGACTGGTATCTATATTTGGAAGTTCTGGACATTTACCGTACATTAAACCCAAGTATTTCCCTTTTTATTTTATATTTTTAAAATATTTGATTTTTTGAGAGAGAGGAAGGAAGGGGGAAAGAGAGAGCAACATCAATGTGAAAGCTGCCTCCTGCATGTCCCCTACTGGGGATCGATCTGCAACCCCAGCATGTGCCCTGACCAGGAATTGAACCAGCAACCTTTCGGTGCACAAGACAATGCCGCTCAACCAATTGAGCCACACCATCCAGGGCTCACATTTTCCCTCTTAAACCAGCAGAATAGCCAGATCATGTGTACTAAGAATGTCTGTTTAAAAAGAGCGACAAAAATACATTGATGTAAAGATTTTGAGACTTTCCTCAGTCTCACTTATCATAAGCTTGCTTCTTGGAAGAGCTTCCTGCTGGGGCACTGAGCTACTACTGAAGCTCATTTTGTGGCATGTTTTTCTTACTGATACACTTTTATGAGTTATTCTTGTTGCATTTTCCTGTACCAGGACAAGGCCCAGGCGTCCACTGACTTTCATGAAGGCATCTATGGAAGGTTTTTGAAGTCCACTGGTTAAGAGGAAAAAGTGCTTTTGTGTTTGATCAGTATGTAGGCAGAAGGTAGTTAGAAACAATGCTGAGTCACACTTTAAAACAGCTGCATTGCAAACAGAGTGAGAGGGCTTCATCGTTGGCTCTGAAGTCAGCTAACCTCGGTCCTGGTTTTTGTTACATCAAGGGCACACGTCTCAATGTCTCTAAGCTTCATTTACTTTCTATTTAAATACCAACATTTCTTGACTACTTACTATGTACCAACCACTAGTATCAGCACTTTTAAAAAATTGTTTTTAGAGAGAAAGGAAGAGGGAGAGAGAGATAGAAACCTCAACTATGAGAGAGAATCACTGATTGGATACCTCCTGCATGCTCACACTGGGGATCGAGCCTGCAACCCTGGCATGTGCCCTGACCGAGAATCAAACTGGGACCCCTGGTTCATAGGTTGACGCTCAACCACTGAGCCACGCCAGCCAGGCTCAGCACTTTTATTCATTTAAACCTCACAACAATCATATTACATCCCCACTTTACAGATAGGTAAACTGGGGCTCAGAAAGGCAATGAAGCATGCTTAAGATTATATCTTGAAAATTAAGGAGACCAAGATTCAAATTCTCATCAGTTTCATTTCAGAGTCTGAGCTTTTAATCTCCCTGAAATGGGGGCAATAATAACATCATCACTGACATATATCAAAAGAGATAATGTCTGTAAAAGCACCAGAGTCATAGACACATGTAAGGTATTGTAATTGTTATAATGAGGTCATTTAAGAAAAGGGAAAACTAGTAGTTACATGACATGGTCATGGCAGAAGTACTCTCAAATGCTGACACACCGGAGCTTACTTGTTCTATGTGAATCAACTAGTATTTCCTGAATACATTATTTTTCTTGACAGCACCCAATCAAATTATTAAGTATGATATGTTACATAAATCAGGTATGATGGATAACCATTCCACTATAGATTGTTTTGGTTTTTAGAAGGCTGGGCAACCTAAAAGACAAAGAGAAGCAACTCTGGTCCATTCGTTACCTTTGAGTCAAGCTGCACTGGTTTGCTTATTTGTTTAAGCTCCGAAGACATTTGCACAGAAATTCAGCTCAAAAACCCCAGGAACCATAATGTAGGTTACCAATAATCTAGAAAGTGTTATTTGTTTGCTTGTAGGTCATAAGAGGATCAGAGTCTATGAAACAGAGACATAATGTTCCTTAAATCACCACCACAATAAAATATACACAATTCCAAGTCATTCTTATTTTCAAGTAGAAATTTAAATGGACACTTACAAACAATAAATTTAGAAACACAGTGATCGAAATGCTTTGTAGATTTATAGTTAAAAACAACCCAGACAAACAACACCCCCCCCCACCAAAAAAAATCCACCTACAAGGATTTTAAAAACATTTTATTCCAGTTCCTTATGCTGTTTCTCTGAAATGTATACAACCCAAGGGTTTGGGCCCCAAAGCCAAAGTATGCTTTTCCTCCTCTATTGGATCCGTAGGTTCCTCAGATCTGCAAAGTCCACGGTGAGCACTCTGCTTTTGCTGTCTGGGCCGGTCTGCTATAGTCAGAAATCTGTGGACAGGTGGTGCATGAGCTAGAGGAGAAGGCTGAGGTCCTTCCTTCTGTTGGCTGCACCAGAGAGTCAACAAGAACACTTCAGTCATCAGCAGGAACGCCATGGCTACATGGACCAATCAGATGGAATTGCTTGTGCAAACAGCTGCCTTGCCCTGTTCCAGTCGTCATAGTACTGATGGAATTGATAAAACTGATTGGTTATTTTAGGCTTACGTAGAAAAATAGGAATATATGATAGGTAGATCAAGAATAAAGGGACTGCGGTCATCAGTATGTCTCAAAATGAAAATGTAAAAATGAACCCTGGTTACCAAATATTGTATCCTTTAAGGAGCCTGAGGACTGAAAATTTAAAATTCATGCTTCTATCCCTTATAAAGAACTATTTTCTAAATTCTTAGGTTTGATGGTGGCAACTAGATCGCCAACTAGAAATGAGGATTTTTAAATCTGATGAATGTCTTTTTATTTTCCTGAATTATTTTTCTGTTGATAGGAAAAGTCTTTCAGAACTATAAATTTGCATCACAGTTAGTGCATGTTTAATAATTTTTGTTTTTTTAAAAGAATAACATTTAAACATATAATTTTGGCCCTGGCCAAGGTAGTTCAGTTAATTGGAGTATCATCCTGATACACCAAGGTTTTGGGTTCCATCTCCAGTCAGGGCACATACAAGAATCAACCAATGAATGCATAAATAAATGAAACAGCAAATCAATGTTTCTCCCTCTCTCTCTTCCTCCCTCTCTCCCCAAAAATAAATAAAATTAACAATTTTTTTTATTTTTTATTTCAGAGAGGAAGGGAAAGGGATGAGAGAGAATCATTGATTGGCTGCCTCTTGCATACCCCACCCTGGGGATTGGACCTGTAACCCAGACATGTGCCCCGACCAGGAATTGAACCATGACCTCCTGGTTCATAGGTGCTTCACTCAACCACTGAGCTATGTTGGCTGGGCAAGAATAATATATATATATTTTTTAGAATTGGGGCTGCACTAGAAAATCCACACTGAAATGGTCTCCACACTTATGGGTAATCTTAGCTAATCTCCATCTGCTGAGTTGTAAAGGCTTCTCTTCTGGAAAACAAAAGCCGTCTCTGACTAAAGGTTGAGTTGAGTCATAGAACCAGTTATACAGCGGGTGCTCCAGTCTTTCGCATTTTCCTCCCAAACAGGAAAGGGTTTGCACCTAACGATTTGATGTGGTTTTTATAAAGTTGCATGGGCTCCGGTCTTGGAGGGAGGTGGATTGTTTTAGGAATGGAGACAGGATGAGATAGCCAAATGGATGCACTACACGATGTTTGGGGAACAAGACATTTTATTCAGTTACTGTTTTGAAGTCTACTGGAAAATTGATTTCTACTGGAAAATTTTTTCTGAGGAGGGAGGAGAGGCCTGTAAGAAGTTATGTAGGGCCCAGCCGGTGTAGCTCAGTGGTTGAGTGTTGACCTATGAACCAGGAGGTCAGGGTTCCATTCCCGGCCAGGGTACATGCCCAGGGCACATCCCCAGTGTGGGGTGTGCAGGAAGCAGCCTATCAATGATTCTCTCTCATCATTGATGTTTCTATCTTTCTCTCCCTTTTCCTGTTTCTCTGAAACCAATACAAATATATTTTTTTTAAAAAAGAAAGAATTTATGTAGGTGCGCCCAAACCAAAATGGCTTAAGAAAGGACCATTTTCAAAAGACAATCTCATGAAGTTTAATGGGTTGGGGTTTAACAATTCTACAAGGTTTACAATCAAAACCTTTTTTGTTTTGCCTTTTGTTTTCTTTTGGCCAGCTCAACTTGATTAATAATGAACAACCCCATTCATGAGGCCAAAGAGCGTGTTTTTCAGCCTCCACTTTGTGGATCTGGACAAGAACTGCAACAAGGAAAAACAGTGTTGCTCAGTAATGTTTTAAGCCCAGTTGATCAACAAAATTCAAGGAGGTATACAGTTTTGGGGACCTTGTGACTAAAGCTTTGCTCTCCAGGTTTTAATCTGGAGGGAGCGTAGTTTATTAAAAATGGTTGAAAATGAAGTATTCCATACAAGGTCTAGCTTCATCCATACAGCAATAGCAATGGTTGGAACAATAAGTTGACGTTTATTAGAGTTTCTGATTCAATCATGTATTTTTCTCCTTTTTTGTTTATTTTCCAGTTTTATCGAGATATAATTGACATACAGTATTATATGTGAGGGTGTACAGCATGATGACTTGATGTACATATATTACAAAATGATCACCACAGTAGGTTTAGTTAACATCCATTACCTCATGTGTTTATAAAATAAAAATTTTTTCATTGTGATGAGAACTTCTAGAATTTACTCTGAGCAACTATCAAACATACCGTACAGCAATGTTAACTGTATCATATTACACATTCCATCCCTAGTAATTATTTATCTTATAACTGGAAATTTGTACCTTCTGCCCACCTTAGACCATATTTTTTAACTCTTTCCAGTCTGCCATTTAGCCATTGGAAAGAATAAGGAAGAAAACATATTCTTCAAACCACATGATTTTTTAAATAGCCTGTTATTTTATTGTTTTATGAAATAATCAATAACTTTTTAAAAAGGGGTTTCAGCAACATGTAATTAAACAAATCTTACATTTAACAAGTGAAACTATTCCTGCATTCCTTTTCTTCTCTAAAAAGTGTTGCGTTTAAGTAGCTGCCTTTAAAGAGTTATCTTCAAACAGCAATGTGTTTTAAAAACCCCAGATACCTTTTCTTTTTGTATAAAGAGGTAAAACACTTTTACTAGTTCATAAAAACTGGCTTTGGGGGGAGATAAGTCATATTTTCCTGTAATAAGTGCCAAATTAAGATCTGTGGTGGGCTTTTAAAAGAGAAAAAATAAAACAGGCCCTGGTAAGTTTTAAAACGTATATATATTTCTGGACAATGACTGCTTAAAATGACACAAGATTTCTGGAAGGCCTCAGATGCAAGCAGTCGGTGAGGTTACACATGGAAGATAGTAACAATTACAATTCAAAATGCAGTGTTGTGTGTGTGTTTTTAAGTAGTTTTAGAAATCACAGTCCTCCCAAGCCTTATTCAGTCTAGTTTCCTGTCTAGACATGCAAATTGAACTGAAGAGTTGAAGCAGTTATTCAGATAATTCAAAGGAAAAAAAAAATTTCCTCACTGAAGAAAGAAGATTGGAGAAGCCTGAACTACGTGCGTTGTTTATCCTCACTGATCAAGTCACCAGGTAATTGAACTTCACCCTGAGAGTTTGAAGAGAACTATAGGATTTGAGTCAGGAACAAATTTCACGGACATTTCTTTTTTTCTTTTTCTTCCTATGCACTCAACCTCAATGAAATGCATATAAATTAAAGGAAGAGAAAGTAACTCTTGGAAAATCCTCTTTCAAGAAAATCTAGTTATTTTTCTGAGGAATAGACAAATGTAGTAATGAAGCCCCTCTCCCCCAAAAAAGTTTTCTCAAGACTAACTTTCTAAGTACCTTTCTTTTTTCAGATGAGATGACAAATTTAACAGAAGATAAAAGGAATTCACTAAGCTGTCAGCTGGATATAATGCCCTATGGTTCTGTTCACATGGTATTTGTATATTCTTGTGAGTTACACAATTTAAATAAAGGAATTGCTACCAGTGTGTCTAGTACACATGAAGGTAATTGATAGATGCTAAAGTAACAGCCAAGCTATGAAATTATAAAGGTTCAAAATTTCTAAAGTAATTACATCGATCCGGTCAGCTAAAAATACATGATCTTTAAAAATATTTTTTAAAACCAATGATGAATATATTTTTATAGTTTTAAAGTAAATATTCACATTGAACTGCAAATTTCTAGATAAAAATGGGGTACACTAATAGCCAATGAATTATATCATATATTCAAATTAAAACAAAATTTGAAAATCATTCATGCCAGAAATTACTACTGCCACAGTCTGCAATATGTCCCAGTAGAAAATTAGAAGCACAATATTTAAACCAGGATTAGTTAAATGAATATAAAAAAGAAGCTTATTATTTATCTTACTTGTTCTTCAAATATAGACTTGTGGAATATATTAAACAGAATCACATTAATTTTATTATTGCTTTTTTAAAAAGGTTCAGGGACACAATTTAAAAGACAGCTTTACAAACAAAAATATTCTCCAAACAATGTTTCCAAATATCAGAAATGAAATGGCTGGTATCAGTTTACAAAAAACCTGAACTCTGTGGAGTTAGATTGCAGAAGTATAAAGAGAAAACAAAACCAAAATTTAAAAAATTTTCTAAATTAACCTTTAAGATCTTTCATTACAGCTTGATAATATTTAAAGATTTTTTCAAGATGGCATAATCCAATATTTTAAACTCTTAACATAAAGCTTTTATAAAGCCTGTGGCAAAATACTGCTTTTAATCCTTACATACTAAGCTGATGGTTACTGTTTAAAATGATGTAATTATACCTTTTTTGACTTAATACATTTTCAGAATTAAAGTAAAAATAGATAATTCTAAAACAATCTGAAAAACTAAATTTTATTACCAAAGAATCAATTTGGCAATTGATTTGTAGTTCAGAAAAAAAGAAGATATGAATAAAATATTTTTTTTAGGAATCACATCTTATAAATATGTTGTAAGCATGCAAGAAATTTTACCACATATTTATGTGAACCTTATTTTAAAAGAAACAACAAAATTAGAAAAAGGGGATGTTATCTCTACAAATTATTTTGTTTAAATTTTGCCAAGCAGGAACATTTTGATGAAGGCAAATTGCTAACTATAGAAGTTCATTGTCAATTTAGTCCTAAAATCTGTCCTTAATAATTCAAAAAGAATTAAAAAGACCAAAATAAACAACTTTTGAGTAAGAATTAACATATTTTAAAAACAAATATAATTCTTTTGTGAAATGGGGAGACTAATACTTATTACAGAGGGCAATTTTTAAAAAGTAACTCTTTATTTTCTCCCACAAGGAATCATTGGCAATTTCTAAATTTTAGTATGAATTATTTCTAATTTCTAATTTATAAATAGTTTTACTTAAGAATAAAATTATTGTAAATATTTAAAACTCTTCTTATGCTTTTTAGGACAGCTTAAATTCTTGATATCTGCAATACTAATACTTGAAAGACTAAAATAAAAATGAGCTTATTTCATTAGTTAAAAGTTTAATTTCCAGGAAAAGCAAGGAATTATTAAGAAAATATTAATTGCTTAAGATTTAGAAAATTTAAATATTTGAAAAAGTTAATTGAAAAAACTATTATATCTATTTGTAAAACAATGGAAATATATACATTCTGGATAGAAATCTATTTAAAAACATTTGCTAAAAAACTAAAAGCAATGTTAACAAAATATAAAAATTTAAAAATTACTTTAGTTAAACTCTTTCCAGATTTGTAAAGCAGAATAATAAAATTTTAGTTTGAATGGCAAGTATTTAAATAAGTTGATATTTTATTACTCTGATTTTTGTACCTTTTAGTTGGAGGATAGACTTTCCATTGACTTCAATGTTTTAATAAATTTTAAAGATAGAGTATACATTCTAGAACTAGTCACATATTTCTTTATTGGTTTTTAAATTCATATAAAATCATGTACTTTTGTTTTACATGCAAATACATAAACTAGTAACAAGAAACAGAAACTATATGGCATATTGAAATTTTCTTGCATTTTATTTTTTAAAGTTGCTAAAAATAATTTCAGAAAAAAATATTGTCTTAGTTTTATCTGAGACGTATAAGTAACGTTTTCAAAGGAAAACAATCTTTTTAAAATTTTCCATTTTGCCCACTTTTAGACTTAAAAGAAAGACCTGTAGCAGATGACAATTTTGATGTAAAATGTAACTCAAAACATGGTTTATAACTATAGCTTACTAAACTAATTATTTGCATTGATATAGGAATAAATGTTATATGTTCTATGTGATACACATAATAATAATATTAATAAAGGCTATTACATAGAAACTACCATAGAAAGAATCAATACAGAGGGAAATTTTAATACAGTTTTAGAATCTTCAAATCCATGGCTAATCAGTTACATTTACTTTACAGTACTTTAGTTTAGAAATTAATGAATTTCACAGCTTTGAAAGTTAAGGAGGGATGGCTTGGTTTTAGAGGGTACAAAATGTGGATATGACTCAGTTCTAGCTACGTGATATTTACAAACATTCACTTGTCAGCTCCCCAGGCAGCAGAGCCCTCTGCAGATTTCTGGCTTTCATATAGATAGACTGTCATTATAAAAGCACAGTAATTGTTTTTATAGAGATTATATAGATCTATACCAACATTAAGAGAAATTTAAGGATAAACCCTATTATCTCCTGAATTTGCTATCTAAATGTATAAGTATTAGTCCTTAATTTAAAAAAAAATTTAACTTGACTATAATAAGCTGCATTTAAGAAAAAAATTTCTGAGTTAAAATAAAATGATATAATTTAACAAAATATTCACAGTAATATTAAATAAGAGCCACAAATAAAAACTAAAGTGGCATGTTACTATTTTACTGCTATTTACATATTATGCATTTTCTAAATATTTTAAACATTTAAAAATAGTGGTATTATATTTCTTAGAATGTAATTTTTCATTAACTTTTTAAAATTTCATAGTATTAAAAAAATCTACATTCTGGTCTCTTCAAGTAGTTGCCGAAATTACTAAAAACCTAACAAGTAAATTGTGTTTATTTCTAAAATATATTTTCAGATATTCTAAATGCTATTCTTTTCTTTAGCTTTTGATTGAAAAATTCTGTTGTAATACTAACCTTTAAAATATGTATCATAAGTAATAAATCTTTAAGTTTTGATCTTGCCTAATTTAAAAATAGTATCTATATTTTTAAAGTATTATTAGAAAAAGTTGAAAAGCACTGGTAAAATTTTCCTTTTGCTAATTTAATGCAAATAGTAATAATGTTTTATAACTCAATATTGGTCCAGGAGTTCTTTTTATCTTCAGGGCATTATTATTATTATTATTATTATTACAAAATGCCATATGAAAAGAAATATAATGATAATTTAAAATGTTTGCAACATGCCACATAGAATAAATATTACAAAGTAATGATTTAAAAAAATTACTAGGGAAATTAGACCCCATCTCAAATGAAACTTGCTTTTCTCTTGTAAACAAAAATTTTCCTTTCCCCTTTTTTGTCAGCTTCCCAGGTCTCGTTTTTACAGTGATATCCCATTTTGCTGAAGTACTTTCTGTTTGAAACTTACCCCAAATAAAAAAGATTTAAGCATTCTCAATGAGGTCGTTGTCGGTTAGTGCTTAGAAACTACCAACTCCGTCCCTTTTGCTATCCAAATGGTACCAAAAACACGCTCCCCACAACAGCAACAAAGCAAACCTTGTGGCCTTGATCACTTTTCACTGTCACTATTGACTAGAATTTTAAAAGCATTTTTAATCCTCAAGATTTGTTAGGCATTCAGATGTGCAGTAGCTCACAACTTACAGATAGAAATCAGCTCCCCGAAAACATGTTGCTCAAATACAGGGTGAGGCAGAAATAGGCTTACAGTTGTGAGTACGCAGAACACAGATTTTATTCTTGTTATTCTTGATCAATTATTGTATTCTTTTCCATATGAACGGCTGTAAACCTACTTTTGCCCCACTTGTAGAAGTGCCAATAAAAGTGGACAAGAAGACCACTTTGCCCCTAAGCAAATTTTCAGGTTGCTCTGACTTAAAAACAAACTTGGGTGGGTTAGAGCTAGTTTTCAGAGGTGTGACAACTTTCTAAATTGTTTTTTCTTTTTTTTTTTCTTTTTTTTTTTCTAAATATATTTCTTTATTGATTTCAGAGAGGAAGGGAGAGGGAGAGATAGAAATATCAATGATGAGAGAGAATCATTGATCAGCTGCCTCCTGCACACCCCCTACTGGGGATCGAGCCCACAACCCAGGCATGTGCCCTTGGCCAGAATCAAACCTGGGACCCTTGAGTCCGCAGGCTGACACTCTATCCACTGAGTCAAGCCGGATAGGGCTAAATTTTGTTTTCTTAACCGGCATTATAGCCATGGCCAGAGAAATGAATGACTGGAAGCATACATACACATATATTCTTTTGGTTTTATATAGCCTCTAAATAATTTTCAAACAAGTAGTGTTGGCTTTTGCAACATTATTTGACTGGCTTAACCAGAAGTATTATGGGTATTTAATGTGAGCATTTAAGAATGTCACTCAGCTTTATTGATAATCCATACCATTAATCTCACCCCACATTTCACCCAGAGTCTGAGCCTACGTTTATAATTGATACTTGGCCAAACGTGTGCCCATCCCTAACCTATTTGTTTTCTATGTTGATGGATTTGGATGTTGTTTTAGCCAGGGTTCTTTTTCTAAGGAAATGTGGATGGGAGTGGGATGCAGATGAGGGGGGGAAAAAAGCATTTTTATTCCTCTCTGTCCACAAACCTGGAAAAATTAGCTAACTGCCATGTCTGACCAAGCCTATTTGCAATCCCTTTGCATTGAACAAATTATCCAGACTTCTTGACAAAATAGAATAGTTTTTTATAATATTACAATTTTCCAAATAAGCTGTGTCAAATGATTCCAATGGGGTCTTGTAACCTCTTGGTATTTAAGTTGTGGTCACCTGTGGTATTTTTGTTCGTTAATGAGTAAGTCTGGTTCATTATTTCTAACTATAACTTGAGAAAGTTACTACTATATTTTTGTTTGTTCAATTTATAGTATTTGTTCAATTTTCTCTGTTCCTAAGCTTTAAATATATTGGGCGATCCTAACCAACAGAGATATTGTGTTTTTAGTCTAGAAGAGATCAATGGTAGATGGTTCAAACCCCGTGGTGGTCCCATTCGTTGAGTTTATCAAGCCTGCCTGGTGATGTTTCCTCCTCAGGTATCACTTCTCTCCAGGTCTATGTGGAAGGACCTAACGCCTCAGCCATGGGCTTGATAGGCTTTAGAACCAGTTTCATTTAGTGCATTTCTAGGGACTGCAGCTTCTTTTTCTGTATTGAATTGATCGCCTTTTGGCATCCTCCAAAGACAGTCCTCAATCTTTTCCTTTAGTCACCAAAACTTTCCAGAAAAATCAGTAAATAACTTAGTTTCCCTCCCCTCACCACTCGCCTGGAAAAAAAAAAAGCCTTTAAAGCAAGAAAAAAAAAAAAGAGGCAAATATAAGCAGTAAAGAGTGCAAAGCAGCTCTGGTGATCCAAAAAAGCAGAAACCCATCACTGCCATGACATGGGCTGCAGAGCCACTCAGCCCACGTGCAGATGGACAGACAGGCTCCCTACCCATGTGAGCATCGCCACTGATGCCTTCCTGCCCTTACTCAATGGGATGCTACAGGGAACAACTTTTATCTTCTGAAAAGTTGTCAGAAAGTACAATTCTTATGCTTCTAGTTTTGGTAGCTGTTCTCTATCATGTCCATGGCTTTCTATTTGGCAGTTTCTTTTTTTCTTTTTTTTTTTTTTTTTTTTTTTTTGAGCTCTTTGCCATCTATTTAAGAAGGTAAGCCGTTCAGCAAGCCGTGTGGCCTTGGTGAGTCATTTTACCTCTCTTGTCTTCATCTGTAGAGCGAATACATTCAATTAGATGATCTCCAAGAACCTTTCCGACTTGAAAGGCCAGTGTTTCTATTACCAGGCATGTAGGGATAACCAACATGTATTTATCAGGTAAGTGATACTGACATTCTGCTTTGTGCACAGTTGAATGCCTGTAAAGGATGGCATAAGACAGAACTTCTTGTACTGTAAACTTTATTTAGAAAAAAAACTCTTAGAGGAAAAACAACTTTTTTCTGTGAGGCATTTAAAGTTCTATAGTGTGTGTGTGTGTGTGTGTGTGTGTGTGTTTATTAAGAAGTTGCTTGGATTCTGCTCTCCCAAGCTGTCCTCCCTACATAAGTAATCGTATCAAATGTAAACATTTCTACACATATGTTTTTGTGAATGTACATGTGCACATGTTGGCATGTCTTTTAGAATGAGGATCTTCAGGGGGTAGCATATAGCTGAGTGTTGATGGGGCATGCCTCATTGAATTCTGATACTATCTGTAAATATTATCTACTTCATACTTTTGTTATCGTATCCTTATTAAGAAAGAAAAAAGCAACATAGAAAAGCATAATATGATATGCTTTGATTACAATGGAAAGAGGAGGTATCTTTATCTTTTGAAAAACAAAAATTTGTATTTCTTTAACTAATTCAGTCATATGTAAACCAATAAAAATAACAATTTAAAAATAATAACATAGCACATATTTCTCAGATTGCTTTGTGGATTCAGGGAGGAGGAGGAGATGTGAAAGGTAAAGATTAAGAAATGATGTTGTTGAGCTGTCCCACCATAAATGGCATGAAATTAAAAAGCCCCAGGGACAGCTTCAAGGGTTAGAGTTTGCAAATCCTTGACCACCTTCCCTTGTTTGCATCAGTTTTTGAGAGACTCGTATATAGGAGACTTGGTCGTCTCCAGAAAAACAAGTAGCTTACAGATGAAACTGAAAATATGACCTTAGTTAGGTTACCTATTTTCTCTATTCTTCTGATTATTTCATATAAAACGACAGGAGAGACCTTTCACCCTGGTCTTTATGACTGAGCATGACTTAAAATTTATGTCAGGGCAACTTCCCGTCTCTTTCCACACCCCCAAAATACCTCTTTACTTCTTTATTTAAATGTTTATTGAATTTAAATGTTTATTGAATTTATTGGGGTGACATTGGTTAATAAAATTATATAGGTTTTCAGGTGTGCAGTTCTACAATGCATCACTTGTATATTGTATCATGTGTTGACCACCCAAAGTCAAGTCTCCTTCCATCACCATTTATCCCCCCTTTTACCTTATTTACCTACTTCACATCCCTTTTCCTCTGGTAATCACCATACTGTTGTCTGTGTCTATGAGGTTTTTTGCTTCATCTTTCCCTTTTTCACCCAACCCCCCAAATCTCCTCCCCTCTAACTGATGTCAGTCTGTTCTCTGTATCTATAAAGTCTGTTTCTATTTTGTTTGTTAGCTTATTTTGTTCACCAGATTCCACATATAAGTGAAATCATATGGTACTTTTCTTTCTCTGACGGGCTTATTTTACTTAGCATGATACTCTCTAAGTCCATCCCTGCTGTCTCAAAAGGTAAGATTTTTCTTTTTTACGGCTGAGTAGTATTCCATTCTGTGAATGAATCACTCATTATTTTTTATGCACTCATCTCCTGGTGGACACTTGGACTACTTGGCTATTGTTAATAATGCTGCCATGAACATAGTGGTGCATATATTATTTAGAATTAGTGTTTGGGATTTCTTTGGCTATATTCTAAGAAGTGGGATTGCTGGGTCATAATGCAGTTCCATTTTTAATTTTTGAGGTAACTCCATACTGTTTTCCACAATGGCTGCACCAATCTGCATTCCCACTAACAATGCATGAGGGTTCTCTTTTCTCCACATCCTCACCAACACTTGTTTGTTGATTTATTGATGATAGCAATTCCAAGAGGCGTGATGTGATATCTCATTGTGGTTTTAATTTGCATTTCTCTGATGATTAGTGACACTGAGCATGTTTCAGTGTCTTTTGTTTCAATATGTTTCAATATGTATGTCCTCTTTGGAGAATTGTCTATTCAGGTGCTTTGCCCATTTTTTATTTGAATTTTTTTTTTTTTTGGTGTTGAGTTGTATAAGATCTTTATACATTTTGAATATTAACCTCTTATCATTGGCAATATGTTCTCCCCATCAGTGGATTTTCTTTTAATTTTGTTGATGGTTTCTTTGCTGTGCAAACACTTTTAAGTTTGATGTAGTCCGACTTGTTTATTTTTTCTTTTGTTTCTCTTACCCAAAAAGATATATCAGAAAAAATACTGCTACGAGAAATGTCTGAACTTTTACTGCCTATGTTTTCTTCTAGGAATTTTATGGTTTTGAGGTTAACATTTAAGTCTTTAATCCATTTTGAGTTTATTCTTATGTATGGTGTAAAAGGTGGTCTAGTTTCATTTTTTTGCATGTATCTGTCCAATTTTCCCAGCATCATTTATTGAATAGACTATCTTTACCCCATTGTATGTTTTTGCCTCTTTTGTCAACTATTAACTGGGCATGGGCTTACTTCTAGGCTCTCTATTCTGTTCCGTTGATCTATATGTCTACTTTTACATCAGCACCGTGCTGTTTCAATTATTGTGGCCTTGTAGTATAGTTTGATATCAGATAGCATGATCTATTTTTCTGTCTCATGATTACTATGGCTATTTGGGGTTTTTTTTGTGGTTCCATATATGATTTATTCTAGTTCTGTGAAATATGCCATTGGTATCTTCTTATTTATCTGTCTCATGATTACTATGGCCATTTGGGGTTTTTTTGTGGTTCCATATATGATTTATTCTAGTTGTGTGAAATATGCCATTGGTATCTTGATAGGAATTGCATTAACCCTACAGATTGCTTTGGGTAATATGGACATTACAATGTTGTTAATTCTTCCTATCCATAAACACAGTACATGTTTCCACTTATTTAGATATTCTTCATTTTCTTTCTTCAGTGTCTTATAATTTTCTGAATACAGGTCTTTTACATTTATGGTGAAATTTACTTCTCGGTATGTTATATTTTTTATGAAATTGTAAATGGAATTGTTTTCTTAGTTTCTCTTTCTGAGAGCTCATTTTTGGTGTATGAAAATGCAACCAATTTCTGGATATTGGTTTTTTTATATTGCTAGTTTACTGAATTCATTTATCAGTTCTAGCCTTTTTTGGTTGAACCTTCAGAGTTGACAATATCACATCATCTGCAAATAATGACAGTTTTACTTCTTCCTTTCCACTTTGGATGCCTTTTATTTCTTCTTCTTGTCTGATTGCTCTACCTCTTCATCTCTTACAGCTAGAAAATCTAAACAATTCAGTTATTCCATGGATTATTATAGTTTCACTTTTACTGAATTAACTAAATGATTGAAGGAAATGTGAATATAATTTTTTTTCTGAGTTTCAGTGAATTTGTTCCATAGAAAATTACAACTTTTGTATCTTGTATAGATTGAGCTATACATGCCTATACTGGATGATTAGGCAAAACAATCTCATTTAAAACTGTGACTATATTTAGGGTTTTGTGGTCCCTTGTCTCACTTTCTTTGCTCTCCAATGCACACTGATTACTGAGGGAAAATATCTATTTTCCCTCCGGATCTTTTATCTAGTTCTCATCAGGGTTTGATTTAACGTGACATCCCCAATAGGCATAAGGGCAAGATTAGAAGATGCCTGATGATCCATCAGATAATGAGCTTGGAGCAGTTCAGAGAGGGCATTGCTTCCTTAGCAGAACTGGTTGGAATTAGCCACTTTAGAGGTAGCTTTTGTCTAAGAACACATGTGTACTGTCACTGATGACAGAATAGAGACTTAAGGATATTATCAAGAAAATTGGATTACAAGTGGAGACATTAGAGTATGGCCCGAGTATTAAGAAATTATTGTTCATTTTGTAGGAGTGATAATGGCATTCTGGTGATGTAGGAAAATGTCATTCGCAGTGAAGTATTTGGGAGAGAAATGCCATATCTGTATTTTTTAGAGTACTTTAGCAAAAAAAAAAAAAAGAGATATTATCAAATATAACTAAATGTTAATAACTACTGAATAGAGATGATGTATGCATGGGTGTTTACTACACTTTTTCTATGTTTCTTTGTAAAACAAAACAAAACACTTAATTGAGATAATATTTTTGTATATGCGCAAGAGGGGAGCAGGGATTTAAAATTTCTCGGAACTGATGTTCTGAAGTAGGGCTTTAGTTCTTGGAATATGGTCGGTAACTCATAAACCAGCGTAAAATGAAAATCCTGTGCAAAATTACTATTTTTTTAAATTGCATTTAAAATTCTAGAGTTGAGCCCTAACTGGTTTGGCTCAATGGATAGAGCGTTGGCCTGCGGACTCAAGGGTCCCAGGTTCGATTCCAGTCAAGGGCATGTACCTTGGTTGTGGGCACATCCCCGGTGGGAGGTGTGCAGGAGGCAGCTGATTGATGTTTCTAACTCTCTATCCCTCTCCCTTCCTCTCTGTAAAAAATCAATAAAACATATATTTAAAAAAAAAATAAATAAAATAAAATTCTAGAGTTGAAACTATAATAAAAGCATGGTGGACATTTCAAAATGAAGACATCCTCATTTTTATTTACCTGAACTAAATGCTGAAAAGTTTGGGTTCTGACCTCAGGGTGAGTAGAATGTTCCTTGAGGAAGGTCACAGTAATACGAAGGTTTGAGAAACTTAGATTCTCAGATAAGAACCTGGGAGGAAATAAGTGTAGCCAGAATCATGGTATAAGCGAATCGAACGTCTGAAGTTAATGACATAAATTATGAAAATATAAACCGTACCGAGATGATTTTATTTTAGTCTTTGGAATTACCAGGTTAATGAGCTTCTTAATCATGCTTCTTTTGTCTTTTGAACAGTAGCTGCATTCTACCCAAGTAATGTGATACTTGTTTGATATGTTAGCATGGTATCTATTTATCACAAAACACGCGTGTTTCTTTACTTATTGCCAAGAAGCCACAGAAAGAAAATAAACCTCTAATAGTGAGAGGATCATTTAGAGGGAAAAATTCTGGTAGAGCCCAGCTTCCATTGGGTTGACTTCAGGGTCTTTGATTCTTTGCTCCTCACAAATGCATGCCCTCATCTACTGTTATCATCACCTTTAACACATCACACTGACTTAAAAATACAAGTGTTGCCCTGACCAGTTTGGCTCAGGGACAGAGCATCTGCCTATAGACTGAAGGGTCCCAGGTTCTATTCCGGTCAAGGGCATGTACCTTGGTTGTGGGCACATCCCCAGTTGGGGGTGTACAGGAGGCAGCTGATCGATGATTCTCTCTCATCGATGTTTCTAACTCTCTATCCTTCTCCCTTCCTCTCTGTAAAAAAAGTCAATAAAATATATATATATTTTTTAAAATGCAAGTGTTACCTGTACAACCCTTTTGAGCCCCAGTTTGGATTATACAGGGACAAAAATATTTCCTTTTAAAAACCAGTTTCTTTTTCAATTAATAAATAGAATGTTTTGAAATATGGGGCTTATGTTTCATCAAATCAGTATCAGCATTTGAAATGACTTTAAACCTACACTCACCACGGGGTGATTTTTCATAGACATAAAGCCTCTGGTAAACTTGATGCTGGTGATTTACTGGTACACAGTCCAGCTGTGTGATAGGAGGAGCGGGCAGGCGCACCCAGAGTCCTTGATTTCAGAAATTTGCTTTTTAGCCAGAGAAGGAGTATGGTTCAATAGGAAAAACCCTGGACTAAGAAACACAAGATGAGGGTTATTTTAAAGTCTTAAAATTTAAGTGTGTCTTTGAAGTTAGCACGATATTAATAAGTGGTATTTTTTAAAGAGCAGGGTGCATTATTTCTAGTTTTTTCCAGTTCTAGTTTTTCTACTAACTACTGACCTCAGGGTCTTCATCTGCAAACTGCAAGTGCTTATTAAATAATTGCTAACATTTCTTCAAACTATTTACCCTGTGCCCGGCACGGTGGTGAGTGCCTTACATTAAATTTTTAAAATTCTCACAACTCCATAAAGTAGATTATTCTGATTATGCCTAATTCATCAATGAGGAGACTAGACATTCTGAGATAATCAAGTGCAGGGTGATCAATGAATTTTAGAAGTGGGAGGGTCCGGGAAAATAATTTAAACTGAGAGGCAGTGCATCAAAATGATTAAGGGTGCAAACTCTACACCCAAAATGTGTGGCTTGCAGACGTGGATCCCTCCCTCAATAAGAATACCCCTTGGGCAACTGACTTAACCTTTGTTTGCCTTAATTTCCTCATCTGTAAAATGGGGCTGATAATAGATCTGCATTATAAGGTGATTAGGACTAAATGTGCATTGCTTAGAACAGTGCCTGTCAGCTAGGAAGTTCTCAGTAAATGTTATAGATGAGGATGATAGCAGGGGCTGGGTAAGTAGACACTATTGTTTTACTGAGGAGAACGTGTGACATTAAGAGATTAGGTCAGAAAAAGGCTGCTGCTGATGGTGGTGGTCTTGATGGAAACTATGGAGTTATTAGTGATACAGAATGGTTTCTTAGAGAGGAAAGGAAGTAGGTTGAAGAAGCAGAGCAAAGAGGGGATTGCTGTCCTAAAAAGGCAGGAAAATCTGTGTTATATTGTCATTGAGCAAAAAGTTTATAGGAATGCGGTGACAGCAGTAAAACATAGAAATGAGACCCAAATTTGGATTCTTATATGGAGTTATTCCAGTTTTTCTGGATCATCCTAGACACATATAGAATGTGAGAGCTAAATGGGACCTTGGAGATTATCCTGTGACACCCCCTCATTTTACATTTTACTCTTTCTATGAGGATAGCATTTGGTGAAATTTGGCCAGTATCATAGTACAGTGAAGCCAGGGAAATGTGTGATGTGCTAAAAGAGGGATTTCAAGTAAGGATGAAGGGAAAGAAGGCGCAAGTTCCTTCACTTTTAGAGCAGGAAAGCAGAGTAGAGAAGACAGTGAATTTTCCCAAATTAAAAGAGGGAGAGAGGGAAGAAGGAGAGCTAATTTAATGCTCAACAGTGTTAGATTGGATTTGTAGTTAATGTTTAAAAAGCCCATGATAAAGAAAATTCTTTTTATTATTATTATTATTATTATTATTGTTATTATTTCTAGGAACTTAGTTTTCTAAAATGGAAAGGAAGTTTGGGGGAAGAGTTTGGCACCCTTGATGGTTCCAGCAAGTGAAGAATCAACCCATTTGCAGCTGGTGTTGAAACTAGTAAGCAGTTAATGTTCATCTATTGATCTGTTACTGTTTAGGATGACTATATTTTGGCTTTTAAAAAAATCACTTTCCACTAAGTTTATGCTTAGTGCTTTCTTTTAAGTAACTGAGTGTCTCAATAGGAACTAATGAGTCCGATTAATTTGGGGTGGAGTTCTGAGCTGGGGAGGGGGCAGATACCCTTTTTTTGGAACACTAAAAATGCTTTGTGAAGTTTCCTTTACAACTCTCCAAGCCAGGGTTGGGTTGGAGGGAGTTGCTCTGAGGGGCTTAAAGGCTCCCCACTGTGCTTGCTCCCCAGTTACAATAGCATTGGGTTACTGAATGAGGACTAGATTGTCTGTTTACACCGAGAAAAAGAAGCCTACAGCACGGAGGCCAAAGCAAAGATAAGATGTTTATGTCTCTGAACCCACTTGTGTATTATTCTCGATTTTAAAAACCACCAAAAAACATCTACCTGCCATGTCAGTAATTTTAGAAAGAGGCTTTTAGTTTGTCATTTTTTTTATTAAAAAAGAAAAACATTGCTGTTATTTCTGCCCATATTATTGTCTGTGCTGTTGTGGGGTTTGAGGACATTGGAGGCTCTCTGTACTGCACCCCTCCACCTTGCCCAATATCACAGGCCTCCTCCATGGCTGGGAGAAAGGTTGCAGGAAAACGGGTAGAGCTGAGGAATAGATGTCATGTTAATTCAAGTCTTTTTTCGGGGAGGGGGGGTGTCTTTTTTTTTCTCTCTTTGATCCCGACTCCCCTGCCTGCTCTCACTTCAGCATCTGCTTGTTGTTGGGTGATGGAATCAAGTTAGAGGTGACGAAAATGAGGCGCCGCGCAGTTATGTGCTTCCCTTCAAGCCTTCAGGAGCTATGGCAAGGTGAAATGAAGGCAGGGCTCAGGCGTTGAGTCTGGGTGGAGACCTGGTGGGTCATGTTGCATCTGCCCTAGAAACTGATTGGGCCTGTGAGTGGCCAACTCTCCTACCCACATCAAAAACTTCCACTTTGCACTTGCAAAGATCATTTGTACCATAAAGGTTCACATCCTTTGAAAATATGGCTTTGGAAGTGGAACGTAGGCAACAGTGACGTAAGGGAGAGGAATTTTTTTGTGCTCATGCATATGAATTTCATAGGTTCTATATTGCGCTGAAGTATCAAGATTAGTTATGAGCAAGATACTTTCAAAGATGTGAATGGTGATATCTGTGGTCGACTTCTTCTTTGTGGTCCTAACTTACCTAAGGTCTCTTCTATATTCAGATCCCAAACGGGGCATTCTGGTGAAGAACAGGAAGTAGCTAGGGTCTGATGAATGGAGGGGCCTGCAAATATTTATGTTTGGAGTATGGAGAGGTAGCATTAGCCACACTGTGATATATGCATCAAAACACAGAAACAAAATCAGAATACGCCCTCAAATGTTGGGGAGAGGTATGATAGGCAAATCTTGTTAAAAAAAAAAAAAAAGCTACGTGGGGTATGGTGCAATCCTACAGAGGGAAGAATTGGAAAACAGATCCAGGAAGAAAAAGCATTAATTCTCCCTTTCCCTTTCTAGAATTTGAAATAATAGATCCTTATGTAAAATTAGGGGAAATGTAAGGAATCTGAACATTTTCTAAGCAGAAGATGATTTTTCTTTGGAGAGAAGGCATGTGAGTTAATGAATGTAAATCTGCGTTAAAATGGAGAGAAAATTATGAGCAGAAGGAGGGAGAGGGACAAGGAGGATAATAGTTTTAATAAATTCAGCCTAAATCTTACTCTGTCTTAAAGTATTTAATGTTTCCATCATAGAGTACGTAGTATTTTAATGATCTCTTTTTGGAGAAATTGATTTAAAAGCCTTTTAAAAGTTAGAAAGTTTAGGGTTTAGATTTTTTTCTTTCACTATTTATTAGAAATTTAGACTATAGAATCTATGTATAAACCAGGCATTATTATGTATTTAAAAAGGATCTTAAAACATATAAGAATAGTTAATGACTTAAATATATTGAAAGAGTACTAAAACTATTCAGTCATAAATAAGACCCACAAGACATGTCAATGGCAGAAACCACCTTCTTACAATGGTTCTGTAATAAAGTTTAAAACAGGATGATATTTTAATTGACAGCTCTGATTTAATTATATTTAAGCCTTGTTGTCTAAAATTAGGATAAAAATTTCAAATATTCATTATCCTATGTTATTATTTTTCACAGACTAGAAGGAAAAATAAGAAGTTTTATCTCCTGAAGAATTGGGGAGATTCTTTTAAAGGTGAAACTTTTCATCTTTAGGTAAGGAAGCATTTTCTATTATTCATCTACCTGTTGAAAAGAGAATATTTCAATTAGAGGAAAGAAGTAACATATACTTAAGCTTTGCTCATCTTAATTGACATAAAACATTATGAAGGTGATAGAAAGCCAGATTTTTAAGTTAAATAAAACAAATTAGTTGGAAATATTTCATTTAGAAAGATCATTTTTTGCGGGGGGGAAAGGAGACCCTTTTTTGCATTTTCTAATAGACTGACATGGTAATAGGAGTCCCACCATCTGTCTTGTCTAAGTATTTAAGAGATAACAAAGTTAAAATCACATTTAGCAAAATCAGGAACTAGAGATTTTTCAAACACTTAGAATATTCCTAAACATAAATGTAAACATGTGTGATATTTTAAAAAATGGACTATTGTGAAAATGTGAAAGACTGGTCATTGCTTTATAAGCAGGCCAGTGAATGAAAGTTAGTTAGGATTTGGGCAATAACAGAGAAGCATAAACTCTGGGATATATTTCCATGCTAGGAAAATATTGCTTTGTAGGATCATAATGTAAATAAACAATTTGTTTAATCAGGCAAGAACCTGTCCTTTGTTTTTCAGTTTTGGTTTGTGTCATAGTGGTAATATAAGAAAAGAAAAAGACTAACTTTTTGAGCATATTAGAATATTAGCAACTAATTTAATTTTTGAAGTAATTCTATTAATGCATTTTACTTCAATGAACAGTATAAATTACATATATGAAAAGCAGATGTTTTAAAGCAAATAAACTAAAAAATGCAATTAAAATGTCTAAACAAACATTTAGGGATGCTTTGAAGTATTTTATGAAGTTAAAAGGATGAAAGATGTTATTATGGAAATTATATATAGAATCTGTTATAAGATATACAAATTTGTATATTCTAGCTTTGTTACCAATACCACATTTGGAAAAAAAAATAGATTACTATATTTGTCTTCTATTAACATATATTCTCAAGAGTAAACAAGATTCCTTCTAATTTTAAATACATTAATAAAGGTACATATGAGTACTTTTGAAAACCAGAGGTCAGAGTTTTAGGTTTTTAAGAAATACAGGTAAAAATTCATGTGGTTAAACAGAATCTAAAAAATTTGACAGAAATATACTAAATTTTTTTGTATGAATTTGAAGAATTTATTTCTAGAATAAATTTGTTTTCTTCTTAAAAAGACAATCATGTTAATATTGAGCATATAGGTTAAAACTTCATTAGGATATACTAAACTTCTAAGTTACTTTATAAAAAAGAATTATGATAACCTGAAAAAAGTATATAAAATTATGTCTAATGTAATCTTTAAATAAAGCCCTTTAATATGCTGTATCAATTTTAAAATCTTATATTTTGAAGGATAAAGTAAAAGAAAACATGACTAACATCCTAACGGAAAACATAACCTCATAATACTGAGAAGAGAGCTGTAAGCATGTAATATATGAGGAGATCAGTTTCACTTCTGACTTATTTTTAAGCCTTTCTTATGAATCATATATTTTAACATCAGGAGAATAATGTACAAAATATGCATTTAATTCTATGGTCTGTTAAAAATAGAGAGGAGAAAATGCAACTTTGCCTAGCTAAATTCTAACTAAAGTGTTAAGTGAAAATTTAAAAAATGCAGAAGCTAAAATAGTATCATTAACTAAAATTCAAAATCTATATTTATACACAATTTTTTATGTCTTAGTATACAGCATTTATTTTAATTGCTAATATAACTACATTAACTGTAACATGAGTGAAAAAATAAATGATGGAGAAGTATTTTCTCACTGTAGGTTACTAGATTAAAAAATTGCTAATAAGTTAAATGTAATATTAAGGGACACGTTTAAAATAAAATTTTGCTGTGGATGTGTCTTTCCAACAAGGCTTTGGGTTTTGTGTGTGCATTAGGATTTCTGAGTTTTGTGGTTTGAAATTCATGATACATTTTGAGTGCCCTTTCAAATGGCAAAATGTTTCTGTGGAAAAAAATCAGACATTGCGTACATTTTGTTTTATATTTGGGTATGAGAAACATAGCAGGTACTTTGGGTGAATTCTAGTTGTTATTTTAGTGCATGCATCAAATACCAAACAATTATTTAGTCTGTCAGTCAGTTACATGTCTAAGCAAGTTACAGTTCGTGTAAGTAATCTTAGATAGTTAACTTACATTCATGACACAGTGATCTCTAAATGTGATTGTCATCGTTACTGAAATTATGGGCAATGTATTGAAAAGAAATGCATTTTAACACTTATTTTTCATTAAAATGAGAAAGATTTTGAAGGGGTTCTTTCGTGAGTGAAAGATGGAATTGTGCAGCTTTCTGAAAGAATGAACTCTTAGTTTTATTTTCAAATTATATTGAAATGTTTATTTACTTGTTGTTTGCTGATATTTTAAAGCCAGAAAGGAACAAAGCAGCATTACACGTTATTTCTGATCATTTTTTTCTATCCCTGGAGAGGGAGAAAGGGAAAGCAACATATGTTGGCACAACAGTGTGTTCCCTTAAAAACAAACAAACTTGAAATTGAAAAGATATGCTGCCCATACCTAATTGTGCTTATTAGGACTTACTTGGAGTCGCATGCATTTCCTGAATCCATATATTTGAGGAAATGTGTCTTATGACATGGAGAGATGTAGCACATGGTAGTCAGATATAGGATCGTCTTGCTCTCTTGTGGATTCCCAGAACTTAGAACACAGATTTTAAACCTACCATGTCGAGTCCCAAAACCTCTGGGCCATAATCATTTAGAAACATGCCCGAAAAGTATAAAGGCGAAAGGGAACACCGGTTGAAGTTGAACGTTCCCTTTAAAGGATATACATTGGGCACTGGGAGGAGTGCTCCAAAGGTAAACAAACGGCACTTTTCTGGGGAGCTGCGGCGGTCTGTGTGATAAAGGAGGGCGGCGAGGTCGCACAATGGTAGCTGCTTGGCAACATTTGCAAAGTTCGTCTCGGATTGTGCGGGTGAAAGTCAGTGCAACCATTGGGTGCGGGGAGGGAGAGGGGAGCAGGTGGCCAGCTCCCGGCCACGACGGGGTTAACCGCGGCGAGAGCCCGGTGTACTCTGGGAGTTGTAGGCCGCGGGCATTGTGGGAGTTGTCGCAAAAGTTCGCTTTCCCGTTGTGATGGCCGCCGCCGAGGCAGGAGTTGAGGGTGTCTGTGTTTCCGGGCGTTTGGGGGGCTCTCTGTACCGTCAGGAGGCCGCCAGCAGCCCCCGGGTGGCCGAGGGCCTTTTCATCGTGAGCCCGGGACCCGGGGGAGGGGCCCGGC